CTTCAGGATCAACTTCACAGTATTTTAAATTTATTCATAAAATCAGGTTTCATTTATTACAGCAACATTCAATGACATATTTATCTGCTTGAAGTGCAATGATAAAAATGCTGGTTTCTCAGCCTTTGTGAAATTGCCTTGAATTTATGAAACATATTTGTATATAACAGCATCTCAACAGATCTACCTTTTCATGCATTTCCTGACCTTGGCATTACTTTGGCAAACAGGCGTGTGTATGTACATGTTATGGTTTGGGGACAAAATTGACTACCAAAGGGAGCTAAATCTAACTATGCCTCCTCAGTTGGAAAATTGCTTCAGAAAATAAAGAAAATGCTTTTTTATTCTAAAAATAAAATAAAAATGTGTGCGTCTAATGTTTTTTCATGTCTTGTATGTGTGTACCAGTGTAGGCGTCTATGAATAATCTATGCCACCCCCTCCATGATTCTTTGAAGCAGCTCCTCATGTTCACAGTAACCCACAGCAGCACATCAAAAACCCTTTGAGCACCAAAGCTGAGAACAAGAACAAGATAAAAGCAGATACAACTAGTTTAGATTGACAAAACCAAAAAGTAAGAAGTGATTCACATATATATATATATATATATATATATATATATATATATATTGTAATAAAATACATGCGTGTACCATTAGTGTTTGCTGAAAGCAGTAAAACATCTATACTCTCAATTTACAATGTACAAACATCATAAGCAGAAACAATGTAAACCATCATGTCATAATGGCATCCAAGTGTCACAATCAATCAAATTACAGCTAGAAGACACATTAGCCTATACTACAGCAGGAAAATACTACAAATATTTGCTGGCTTAAAGATAAAGTCAAAAGAGAGGCTGAAAAAGAAGAAGACTCAAACACTTACTCTAAACTCTTTATTGGAAGAAGCTGTGGTGCCCTGAGATGGGAGTTAGTTTTTCACTCCAGCCCTCCTGCTTTCCCACAGAGCAATCTAAAGTGGCCTTCACCATCACGCTTCTAATCAGGCTAGTGACAGAATGGGGAATGGCCATGTGGGACAATGGACATGAATGTTGAAGCTCGTAACAAGAATTTTTCAGAAGAGCTCGGCAAATTTTTGACCGCTCTGCTCTGGGGACAGAGGAAGCGCCGGCTTTATCATTGCTGCAACAGGGAGGTCTGTCTGTTTCTGACTACTCTATCGAGTTTTCCACGATCGCTGCGTCATGCGGATTGAATGCCAAGGTGCAGTTGGATAATTTCCTTCACGGGCTGGCAGAGTACATCAAGGACGAGATTTATTCTCTCAAATTATCTCCCGGCCTTGACGGATTTGAGAACCTTGTCATCCAAGTTGAGAACCGAATAGCTCTCCTTTCCCAGCATCAGAGGGGTGTGTCCTCTCACAAGCTCTTCTTCAGCTTGGCCTCTAGAGTGGGGGGTGGAGCACATTCTCAGCCCATGCAGATTAGGAGAGCCCAGCTGTCTCACCAACAATCTGTGCCTATGGGGAAGCGGGGCATGTGGCGGCTTCATGTCCGTTGAAGAGGCATGAGCTGCACTAATACTCGGCTGCCCTCTGGTGGTCATTCCGTCCTCCAGACCTTATTGCAATTTAATGGGGTTGCTCATCAGGTGTAAGCTTTCATCTATTCTGGAGCGAAGGGGGATTTTATGAACACCGAGCTGGCTGCATACTTACAGTAGGTGTTCTGCCTGTTCACCTAAGCATGCTGCTTCGGAATTGTCAACACTATCTCACGACCAATTCGTACGAATTCGACGCATGAAGTGGCTAATTCGTACGACCTCACTCGTACTAATTCGTACGATTTGTCTAAACCCACGTGATGGTTAGGTTTAGGGGCGGGGTAAGGGGTAGGTAATTCGTACGAATTCATACGAATTGGCCAATTCGTAAAATATGTACGATTTAGCAAAATCGTATTAATTCGTACGAGTGAGGTCGTATGAATTGTTACGAATTAGCCACTTTTTAATCATTCGTCGAATTAGTACGACTTGGTCGTGAGATCGGGTTGGAATTGTTTATTCGCCATGGTAGAGAAGTGCGAGTTTCAATGAGTTTGGGATTTATTCTTTGGATCCCACCAATGTAAAAGCGGTTGCTGATTGGCCAACCCCAGATAGTTGTAGAGCTGCATGTCCAGCAATTTCCGAGGTTTGCCCATTTTTACAAGTGGTTTATTCGGAATTTGAGCCAGGTCGCCCTTCCTCTAACTGATCTAACCTCCACTCGAAAACTCTTCTGTTGGTCGTCACAGGCCCAGGCTTAGTTTACAAACTTAAAGAATTCCTGCACCTTTTTTCTTATCATTTAACCCCCAAGGAACAGAATTATTACATCGGTAATAGGGAGTTACTGGCTGTTAAGTTGTTGCTGGAGGAATGGCGCCACTGGTTAGAGGGTGCAGAGGTCCCTTTTATAGTTTGGACCGGTCATAAAAATTACATCCGAATAAAAAGTACATCCGCACCGCTTAACGACTAAATTCTCGACAGGCCTCCTGTGCACTGTTTTTCGGTCGGTTCAATTTCAACATCTCCTCCCACCGAGGGTCCAAGAATGGTAAGCCCAACACACTTGCAACTACTTACTGTAGTAGACGGTACTATGCAACCGTCTACTACAGTATCACATCAGGGGGTGCATTGTAGTCTCCCTGAGGAAAAATTTGGTTCATTTGTTGCTATAGGAGAGGAAGAATTTTGCAAACTCGTTAATTCATCTAATCAACAACTTGTATGCTAGACCCTATACCAACTAAACTACTGAAAGAGATGCTTCCAGGTCATAGATCCTCTTCTTAATATAATTAATTCGTCTTTGTCGCTAGGATACGTACCAAAAACCTTCAAGCTGGCTATGATAAAACCGGTTGTTAAAAAAACGCAACTTGATCCTACAGAATTAGTCAATTACAGGCCAATCTCGAATCTGCCCTTTTCTCTCAAAGATACAGGAACAAGCAGTATCCTCACAACATTCTTTTAAATAGACTACAAAACTATGTTGGCATTTGTGGAATTGCATTAGCATGGTACTTATCATACTTATCTGAACGTTATCAGTTTGTAGCAGTAAATGAAGAGATGTCTTATCGATCACAAGTTCAGTATAGCGTACCACAAGGCTCAGAGCCGCTGCTACTAGGACTAGCTGCTATTCACTCTGTACATGCTGCCATTAGAAGATATCATTGGGAAACATGGAATTAGCTTTCACTGTTATGCTGATGACACTCAGCTGTATATTACTTCAAAACGAAACAAAACTTACCAATTCACAAAATTAACGGAATGCATGGCTGATATAAACAATATGGATGACCAGTAGTTCCCTACTACTAAATTCTAATTATTGGACAAAAAACTTCCACACGTAATAGCCTAGAATACTGTCTAACACTTGATGGCTGCTCTGTTAAGTCTTCGTCGTCGGTTAGGAGGCTGGGTGTGCTCTTTGATACCAATCTTTCATTCAAAAGTCATGTGTCTAGTAAATTTCGCCATGTGCTCTCATTGACAAATGCAGAACAATTAGTTAATGCGTTCATGACATAAAGACTAGATTATTGTAATGCTCTACTGGGTGGTTGCCCTGCACACTTAATAAACAAACTTCAGCTAGTCCAAAACGCAGCAACTCAAATTCTTACCAGAACCAGGAAGTATGACCATATTAGCCTGGTTCTGTCGACACTGCATTGGCTGCCATTAAACATCGTATACATTTAAAAAAAATAATACTTACAAAGCAATAAATGGTTTAGCTCCCCAGTACTTGAGCAAGCTCTTAACGCATCACAAGCTGATTTCCCTCACCTGTCGCTTGTTACCTTTCCCTTATATTTTCTGCTGTGTCTGCCCCTTGTTGTCAGTTGATTTTTTGCCTCGTCTCATGTGCAGTTGGATCTATGAATGTGTGGACTGCTCTAGAGCTCTCACACATCCCTTTTGTCTGTGTGTGTCACTACACTTTGGATGTTGTTTATTTCCAAAAGTGTCTAATAAACTGTTGAACGAACCCTCTGCTTTTGAGTCCTACATTCACACAGCCTCTTGGCAAATTTGTCTATTCAAGTGCAAGAAGACATGAGCGAGATCTCAATTCAGTATTCCCGCGCTGTCTGAAGTTTGGTTTGGCGTCCACATGAGCATGAAAATCATGTCATTGCAGTGTGGGTAACTTTTGCAACATATGCCAACTTCTAGGTGACTCTGAACAAGCAGGTAAATCTTTACTGGCATATTACCAACATGCAGTTTGCACCCGTCTAAATTAATTGCTAACATTTAAAAAATGAGCCTAGAATGGCACAAACAAGCTTGAAAAAGTTGATGAAATCAAATGAAATTCCATTGCTCTCATGTCGGGTCAGGAAGCCCGCTATGCGGCTCTCTTCTTGAGCACGTTATAGGCCACGTCTAGTTCGGAGGACGGAGCTAGATGTAGAGAGATTTATGAAGTGATCAGTGAGAGCGCCTCCTCCACTAGCCCTGCATATGAAAAGTTAATGGAGGTTATGATCCACCATGGCCACACTTTGTTTAACTTTGTCGGCGTTGAACAGGAAGTTGCTCATGGCAGACAAGATGAGCACTTTCAGCTAGGCAGAGTCACAGATTAGACAGATTTCACAGATTACAGATTCAACAGTGATTTGAGTCACAACGAGATTGTGTGACCCTTTGTCTCACGCCATGCTCTCTCTCCAGGTTAAATAAAGGTAGATGTTGTAAGATGATGTAAGTCCTTTCTTTTTGGCTGCCTTCCTTCCAGAATAGCTGGAGGTGAGGATGCATTCATCGATGGACAGTGATCTACTCTGGACAAAATAGGCAATAAGTATTGCCGTTTGCTTTCACTGCTCACTTAACTAACAAGTAATATCTTGGCTCCATGACAGTCCATTTAAAGGTCAATACATCTTTCAAATGCAGGGGACAACTTATGGCTTATAATAATCACAGGATGCTCCTTACCTTGTATTGTCTGTGAAAGAACAGTTCCAAGTCCAATTTCAGATGAGTCTGTCCGAAAGATGATGGTCTGTTGAAATTTTGAGGCATGAAGAACCGCCTCTATTTTTGCCTCTTTCAGAACCCGTCAACACCACTCTCTCGTCCTGTCACTTCTTTGTCAGGTCCTTTAGAGGGCAAGCTATTGAGAAGTTAAAAATTAAACAAACAGTAATATCTGGCCAACCTTGTCCAAGAAGTTGCCACTTATGCTTGGTAACATCCCCCTAAAACTGCCCTAGTACTGCCAATGGCCTCCAGGAAAACTGAGCACTGTCTTTTTCTTTTACTGAAGCAACTATAGGACGCTTTTTCTTTTAATCGAATCAAGAGTTAACAGGATTCTGGTTCTAAGTTCTTCCAAATGTTCTGGTTCAATTCCTGCCATTAAAGAAGTCATGACATAAGGAATCACTGAAGGAAGCCCAGTTCCAGTATCACATCACTAAGGATGCTTCTGAAATTAGTGATGGTACGCTAATGAAGCGCATGTGAATGCCACTCCTGAAACTTTGCAGTATGTAAGTGCCTGTTGGTCTTCTCAGTCACAAAAAAGACAAAACTTTTATTAAAAATCTAAATGGATTATAAATAGAACGCACACAAACTTTGTTCGCTTTAGAATCACTAAAAAGCTGTCCCTCACATCAATTAATTTTAATATTTAATAATATTATTGATCTGACTGCACTGACACCATTGTATGAGAACTGAACGATGAAATTACTGTTTTTCTCTTTCTTCTCTATCTATCTATCTATCTATCTATCTATCTATCTATCTACGTATCTATCTATTACTTTGTCTGCATTTTTAAGTTGTGTTGTGTGATCTAGGTTCTGCAGGTTGAACATGTCACCGTGTGGTGTGGATTGAAGAAGAATCAAAGTCCAAAGGCTCCAATATAAACAATTTACCCTGCATGTACTCACAGGTACATGCAGGCAGGCAAGCAAAAACACAAACTAAACACAATTATGAACAAAGTTAACACTTTACATAAACGAAAACCGACCCAGACAGACTAACTAGAGAGAACTAAATATGGCTGTATTTTACCCTGTGAACAATAATGAGGACAGGTGGAAAGGATGATGATGACGAAGAAAAGTGATTGAGGGAGTGGTTCAGGTGTGGAGACAAGAAGGATTCTGGGAAGTGTAGTGAAGACGCAGAGAGAATGGTGCAGACAACTGTGACAAGACATGAGGTCTAGGGGTGGAAAAAATTAACAGTTAAAATCTTTTTAATTCTTTTAAACAAAATTCAACAGTTTTATGTTTGGATCTGATTTCCCTTAATGTTTCTTAATTGTTTCCCTTAATGGTTCCTTAATTGTTTCATTAAGACGTCATATGTAAGGAATAAAAATATATATATATTGACATATCGGACATCGTTGCACTCTTATAAGTTTTAGAACTCATAAATTCCTTGTTACTGCAAAAAAAAAAAAAAAAAAGAAAAAGAAATCTTATTTCTACACATTGTGACATCCCACTATGATAGACATTTAATTTGAACTGCCCGCCCTCCACAAATACATTTACGTTGCCATATTACTTCCGTAGCTCGACAAGCAGCAGTGAGAAGTGAGGTGCCAAGGAGAGAGCAGCAGGTTAGTCAAGCATTAGTAATCAGGTCACATCACGCACTTTAAGACACCTAAAGTTTACTGCAACTTTTGTACTAGATTGCAATTTGGCAATATTTCCAAACATTAAGCTGTTTGTGGATGTGGAAATCCTGACATCTACTGACATCCTATCGTCACTGGATGAGAGTGTCACTTCAAAAGCAAGAATAGACCTATGGTCATGCCCTATCACAACCGGTCCTGCTCCATGTCTTGCCACAGTCTCTTGGTCATATTCTTTCACAGCCTTGCAATTAATCTATAGTCTGTTTTCGCATTGCCCCAAAAGGCCTTGATCCAGGTCTGCCACTGCAAAAAGGCCACTGCCCCCGATTCAGGACTAGTCCACTCCATGACCACAGACCAGGTCCAACATTGCTTCAAGGCCCAGACCCAGACCTGCTTAAATGACCATGTCCCAATGCCCACTGTGGGTCCCTGCACCACCAACTCTTAAAGGCACCTGCCCTGAGTCCTAGATGAAAAATTGGGACCAACATGGGTTGCTGATGGGGATTGGAAGTGCTGGTGACCCAGATTCAGCAGCTTAGTTTCAATTAAGAACAGAATGACACTATGTTTCCATCCACCTATTGTTATGTGCATTTTTGAATATCGCATAAAAACTGCTGGATGCAAATCCCAAGATGGTCATAAATTTTGAAAATGTGCATAAAAATGTATGTACTTGTTTAATTCTGATAAATTTTTCATCCAATAAGAAAACATGAGCAGAGCGGTCTTATATGACTGCATATAAATTAAATGTGCAACTTTTAGATGGAAACAGTTGATACAAGTTCTAACCAGCCTGGAAAAATATGTAATTCATTCTGATTTATTCTGGATTCTTCAGCAGGGTTACCTGAACATTACAAAAATTATCAAGGCTCGAACACCTTTTGACCAAACAGTTTTAAATAATATAGTAATATAGGCGCTGTTGTCATCTGCATAGTGCATAGTAATGCTCTCTCTCTCTCTCTCTCTCTCTCTCTCTCTCTCTCTCTCTCTCTCTCTCTCTCTCTCTCTCTCTCTCTCTCTCTCTCTCTCTCTACACAAGTTCTGGAAGAGCTCATCAGTGCTGAAGGCATTTTTGCTCTTTTGCATTATTGTGGTTTGGTGTTAATGTGTGTGGGCTCAGGGCATCACTGCATTAGTGTGGTGGATGGGTGTTGGTGGGCGAGAGTGTGTGTGGGTGCTGCGAATTGGCTGGTACAACAATGTGATGTGTGGGCGAAAGAGAGAACTCTTTGAAAAAAGAGGAGTGAAAGGGTGAAATGAGGCAGTGAATATGAAGGAGGATCAAAGAAAACACATTAATTAATTGAAAAGAGAATAAATGCACATATATATCTGTTTCATAGACCTCTAATGAAAATAAAGGGTTTGTTTGTGATATCCTCAGCATTTCTTTTCTTTTATGAATATTGGTGTCCAAACTTAGCTTGAATTCAGTATAAGCACATTTTCATTTGGAGTATTTTCATCACGCCATCAAAATGACACACCACTTCTTGTAACTTCCTGTTCATCTAAGCTCTAGATCCAGCAAATTCATTCAGCTGGCAAAATCTCAATGATTTACAGAAATGAGAATTGTTACTTGCAACAAATATACATATTTGTTTGTGATATACAAAGTATAATATATATATATATATGAAGAGTTCAGATGCAAAAGCCTCTAAATGCCATTTGAAATTTTCTTCTTTAATGATGATATTTATCAAACTTGTATATTTAAGTTCAGCAATTTAACCTAAATGGCAATGATAATTACCTATTAATTGTTATTTAAGTGAAATTACTGAACTTAAATATACAAGTTTGATAAAAAATCATCATTAAAGAAGAAAATTTCAAATGGCATTTAGAGGCTTTTGCATCTGAACTCTTCATATATAAATCTATAAATATATATACAAAAAATGTATTTTCACCTTATCTTCCAAAACAACTAATGAAACATCTTTGCAAAAAAGATACCTTTACTTCAGCAAAATTGTTTTCTTATATTCTTCTAATACTCGTAATACTGTCATAAAAAAGCAAGTGGGTTCCTTTATTAGTTTTGTATAGATGTTAATGAAATATATTTGACATTGGGTAAAAAAAAACCAGAACAAACTACTGACAGAACAACAATTCAGACTAAAAAATGACAATTCAAGTGCAATTCAATCATCCACACACCAAAACATTGAGCATAAGCTGCAGTATATCCTTCCACACAATCTACACAAAGGAGCAGATTCTTTACCTGCTGATATGATGATTCCATGTCCATGATAACCGCAGAAAAAGAGCACACGGAGTGAAGAAAGAAACATTGACACACTCTTGCCCTCGCTTCCTTTGCTCCCTCCCTCTCACTCTCTCTTTCTCTCTCACCAACGAATTATGTAAGGGATAACGTACAGTACACTCCACCAGTCATAATCACCAAATAAACTGTCAGGGCAATCAGGACGCCTACGCCAAGTGGAGCCAATTATTACACAGGTACTCATCAAATAAATGGACATTAAATATTAATATAAATTATTTACAATGTGAGAAGAAAAAGATCACAGAGTGTTACAAGAAACATGAAACCTGTAGAGAAAGAAATCTGTTGCCTGAGTGAACAGTCAATTATGGCCTGGTTTCACAGACAGGGCTTAGATTAACCCAGGATTAGGCCTTTGTTCAATTAGGACATTTACGAACAATGGCACTTGCATATTTTAAGATATCTCCGTGCAAGCTGCTTTCAGTTAAAACAGCTCAAACATGCATTTTAGTCTGAGGCTAGATTTAAGCCTTGACTGTGAAGCCGGGGGTATATATTTAAGTGTTTCTTAAAAAATATTTCTCCACAGAATACCACAGTTAACCAATAAGAATTAAATAACCCAGAGAGCCATGTAATAAATAATGTTCAATATTTTAGACATTTAAATTTGTACAGACTAAGGGCTAGATTTACTAAACAAGGCAAATTCGAAAAAAGCGCTCATGGAAGTGGAAAGTTCTGACGACGCGCACATTAAGGAACACAGAAGCATCTGGATCATTTCCATTATGACCAACACAATCTACTTAGTGCAGCGCAAATTAGTGCAAATACTCTCCTCCAATAAATTCTGCGTCTGTGCCCACTACTCCTCAGCACAAATTTTTCAACGCCTGTCTACATGTAAAAGTAGATTTTTAACACCAAAAGAGGGTTTGCTGTTAGTTAATCTGGCCCTAAAGTCTCTGTATAGGGATCAGCATGCTAGTGATGAGTGTCAGGAGCCAATCAGAATCCTCAGCACTCACCACACAACGATCACTCTCTCCGGATTACTAATCACGTACACCTGTGCACAATCAATGATCACATCTTACCCTGCATAAAAACACCCCGCTCACGCTCACTCATTGTCAAGCCTCCAACAGGAACAGACCCTAACCAGTCCCCTAGAAACTCTCCGTGTCATCCAGCAACAAGGAACATAACGTAACATAACGTATACTTACCCGCAAAATACTAACCTCTCTGTCCATGTTCTGATGTCCTCAGGATCCACTCCATGGTCTCTGCCTTGTCCTGAATCCTTATACCCCTCCTGAATCTCGTTCGACAACAGATGACCTGAAAGAAAGAAACACAAAGATCCACACTGAAGAGGATCTGCTCACCTGGAATCCTTCACGCTGAAGTATCCTCCTCACATTCACCTCTGAACAACTGAAACTTTGAGCACTCACCTTGTTTGTGAAAAAATAAAGTTTATGTTCATTCACTTACCTCTGTCTCCGAGCCTGTATCCTGACAATGAGGGCTTGTAAACAAACCATCCTCTGCTTTGTGTGTGGGTGGGTAGGACTGGACTGGGGACACACATAAACACATCATACATACACTCTCAAGTCTTGTGAGAATATAAAATGCTCCAGGACACTGATCTTCTGTTCCAGTGTGGGAGTGCATTTGGAAGATACTAGAAAAAATCATGGGGCATTGTGAACTGCTTTTTTTCGGTTACTAACGTAACCTCAGTTGTCTCTAGAAGAGGGAACGAGTAGAGCATATCTTACACTAGGGAAAGCCTCTTTTCCACAAAATATTGAAGCCAAAAATTATCCTTAAGTTTGAATTAATTTCAATAGCATTGCGGCAGCATGCAGACATAGGCAAGGCGGCTTAGCGTGCCTATTAGCTGTCCTGCGGCAACTGCAGTAGCCTATCGAGAGAGACCCCATAGCTTCATGGGCTGATATCACTGGTTTTTCATCACCGAAGTGAACCAGAGCATGTTGCAGGCACGACAAGATATGCAATTCTCGTTCCCTCTTCTAGAGAGAAACGAGGTTATGTTAGTATCTGAGTACGTTCTCTTACGAGAGGTTCTCTCTTAGTGCGGAATATCTTACGCTAAGTGCCCGGGGCTCATATAGTGCACAATCACAATGGACTCACAGAGAGTCTGAGAAGAGAGGCTAGCAGCATCATTCCCAATAAGTTAGCCTCCCTTGAGCTAATCAGTTAGCCTCCCTTGAGCTGGGCCGGCAGTGGCTCAGTGGTTCATGTGGGTTGTCTACGAACCGAAAGGTTGGTGGTTTAATCCTCGGTTCCACCTGACCAAGTGTCGAGGTGTCCATGAGCAAGACACCTAACCCCAGCTGCTCCCAACGAGCTGGATGGCGCCTTGCATGGCTGACACCGCCGTCGGTGTGTGAATGAGTGTATGAATGGGTGAATGTGAGGCAAATGTAAAGCGCTTTGGTGGCCATTAGGTCTATGAAGGCGCTATATAAATGCAGTCCATTTACCATTAATCACTTTAACAGTGTCAAAGCCAGGGTTAAAAAGGTTCTGCCTGAACTGACTAACAGTACAGGTATTATTTTGCCGTGGGGAAAACTCTATCGGTCAGCGTGATTGTAGTATTCTGCGCCGATGCAGCGGGGCAGACAATGCTTGATTTGAAACTGACAGCAGTTTAGCCTGTAAAGTGGGAACCTCTAGGTTATAAAACCTTATAAGTGTAGACGGGGAGGTCCAGCCTGCCGCCATACAGATATCTTGCAAGGTAATCCCGCTAGACCACGCCCACAACAAGGCCATACCTCTAGTGGAGTGCCCTCTAACACCTAAAGGGCACTTGAGGCCCTTTGACGTGTATGCCAGTGCAATGGCATGAACTATCCATCTGAATAGGCTCTGTTTCGATGCGGCTAGGCCCTTAGCGTGACCGCTGAATGGAACAAAAAGCTGCTCAGTCTGTCTAAAAAACGAGCAAGACACATAAGCTCTTAATGCCCTGACTAGGCACAGGAGGCTTGCGTCTATCTCCTCGTTATAAACTGGTAGGGTTTATAAATATCAATATCTTATTGGTATATTTCAACGCATTCTCACCCCAAGGCGTCACCTTTGACCATGCTTCAATATTTGACGTTTTAGGCGCCCTTTAGCGTCACTTACATGACGCGATCCTACGGCGTCATCTAACTGACGCTAAAGGAAAGCGTCAGTTAGAGGACGCGGTTAGGTTTAGGTGTGGGGTGGGGGTAGGGTACACGCAATCCTAGGGCGTCATCTAACTGACGCTAAAGGCCGCCTAAAGCGTCAGATATTGAAGCATGTCCAAATGCTTCCCAAGGCGTCAGTTAAGTGACGCCTTGGGGGTGAGAATGGGCTGTATATTTATAGGGCTAGGCCACCCCCGCTTCGGCGGTAGTGTGACGCAATGGGCGCGAAATGCCCCCATTGGACCGTCACCAAAGGGCCGCTCTCGATAGGCTTCTGCAGTTGCCGCAGGACAGCACGCTAAGCCGCCTTGCCTATGTCTGCATGCTATTTTACATTAATTCAAAATTAAGGATATTTTTTGGCTTCAATATCTCGTGGAAAAACGGTTTTCCCCTAGCATAGGGTGACCAAACATCCTGTTTTCCCAGGACATGTCCTGTTTTTACGTCCTGTCCTGGCCGTCCTGTCTGTTTTTTAAAAAGTGATGAAAATGTCCTGGTTTTCATTATTTTTCATTGGGCCACTAAGCGTGTACTTTAAATACATGCTTGGCTTTGCAGCGTCAAGCACAGAGCATGTCAGACTCAGAATCATCAGAATACAGAGGCCTGCGTGTGTGTGTTCATCGCAGCCTCATTGGTCTGTTACTGCTTGTCAATGTCAGAATATTTGAAATGACCAATCAAATCAAAGTAGGCAGACTTTACGTTCACAGAATTTTAGTAGTGTGACGCTTCAGACGCTTCAGTTTACGGTCAAGTGCGAGGTAAGATGCAAGTAGCTAACAGCGTAAAAAAAGCCCAAATGTAAATTCACAGATGACTTACAGAGAAAATTCCTGTGTTTTCGTTTCGGTCGGGATCCGTGTAAAGAAGAATGCATGAACTGCAAAGCAAAGCTGGCATGTACGTGTCAGTGTCAAGGTGATAGCGACCTAGAAGCCCACATAAAGAAAGTATAGGGGTAACACTTTATTTTACGACCCGCAAACAACTGTGTAAGTACACCTAAATTACGGTGTACGTTTCTGTAGTTATAGTGTACTTCCGTGTAAGTATAAGGGGACAATACACTTACCCTGTAACTACACAGAACAAGGGGGTAACAAACGCTATGTAGCAACACGAAACAACACTATTTGCTCTGTAATTACAGAGAAAGGTACTGTTATCTAGAAAAGAAAACAACAACAACAACAAAAAAATGTCTTAATTACACAGTATATTTGCCCTGACATTTAAGTGTCATTGCAATTCAATGGGATAAGGTAAGTACTAATTACCACATGGTAAGGTCTAAATTAAAATCATAGCAGAAACAAATTATTTTGATTTTTCTAGGGCTTTTTACTATGATTTTTCATATTTTGCCAGAAATGTGATACAATGTATAAACAACAGATGTACAATTTTTGCCTGGAATATATTAACAGAATAGGTACCTGTTATTTTTTAACTAATTACATAATTTACTTGTATATCTGCTTGTTACCATTTTTACCCCAACCTTAACATATTGTTCCCTTATACCTACACGGAAGTACACTATAATTACAAAAAATTTACACCGTAATTTCAGTGTACTTACAAACTTATTTGCAGGTTGTATATCTGTTTGTTACCCCTTTATTACCCCAAACTTAACATATTGTTCCCTTATACTTACACAGAAGTACACTATAATTACAGAAACGTGCACCGTAATTTCGGTGTACTTACACAGTTGTGTGCGGGTCGTAAAATAAAGTGTTACCAGTATAGGCTAAGAGAACATCAGAAGGATTCAAATTGTTTGTTTTTGTTTTTTTACTGAAATAGTGTAGGCCTAGTAGATTTTTCTATTTTATTTTAGTAGTAGAATTTTAACCTATGCTGTGG